TGGGTGGCTCAGTGGTTGAGCTTCTGCCTTTGGCTTAGGTTGTGATCCCGGGGTCCTGGGACTGAGTCCCGCATCAGGCCCCCCCACAGGGAGCCTACTTCTCCCTCTGCCTATGTCTCTGCTTTTTCTATGTGTCTCTCATGAATTAAAAAAAAAAAAAAAAAAGTATGTTCTCTGGTACCACAGACATTGCTCTTTGGCTGAAAATCAACATTGTATGCTCCCCTGCTGATCCTCAGAGGTTGTTTAAAGAGCTGAAAACCTAAACCATTACTTCTTTTTATTTGGAAAAAAATTTTTTTTTAAAGATTTTATTTATTTATTCATGAGAAATGCCCAGAGAGAGAGGCAGAGACACAGGCAGAGGGAGAAGTAGGCTCCCTCAGGGAGCCCAATGTAGGACTTGATCCTGGGACTCCAGGATCATGACCTGAGCCAAAGGCAGATGCTCAGCCACTGAGCCACTCAGGCATTCATGGAAAATTTTTTCATCTGTTTTATAAATATTGAGATTTTAAATATAATATCTGCATGCTTAAGATAGAAATTTGAGGGATCTTTGGAGCAGGAGTTAAACTGACAACTCCTAGAATGTTAGCAGGTGAGCTTCCTCCATGTACATTTATGAAGCATAGCATCACTTTAACTTTGAGACCTTGGGGAAAGCTTAACCTTATAATGTTTACGTTTTCTTCTTCTTCTTTTTATAATTTATTTATTTGAGAGAGAGAGCATTAGTAGAAAGGGCAGAAGGAGAGGAAGAGAGAATTTCAAGCAAACTCTGCACTGAGTGTGGAACCAGACACAAGGCTCATCTTATAATCTGAGCTGAAACCATGAGTGGGATGCTTAACCGATTGTGCTCCCATTGTAAAATGGAAGCATTAAACAGTATCTATCTTGTACAGTAGTTGTGATGATTACATAAATGACACAATCACAAATACCTACAGAGCACCTATTATGTGCTGAGAATACAGCAGTGAACAAAGTACTCCCCCTTCCCTAGTTAGTAATGATTTAGCACAGTGCTTAGACCACTGTAATTAATTATAGTTATTATTATCTTGTAAATGTCAGATATATCTTACAGAATGAGATTATGTGTGTAAGACATGTTCACACATTTTAAAATTTTCTGTATATTTAAGGGGTGCCTGAGTGGCTCAGTCGGTTGAGCATCCAACTCCTAATTTTGGCTCAGGTCTTGATCTCAGGGGTCATAAGAAAGACTGAGCCCCCCCCCCCAAAAAAAAAAAAAAAGACTGAGCCTATGTTCGGCTTCACGCTCAGCAGGAAATCTGCTTCTTCTCTTCTCCTTCCTGTATGCGCTCTCTCTGAAATAAATAAATAATTAAATAAATATTTTTTAAAAATTTAAAAAATAAAGTTTTCTGTATGTTTAAAAATTGTTGACAAGAGGAGAATCTGTGGCACTCAGAATTGGGATTCTTTCCACACTGCAGATTCTCTTTCCTTTGGAAGTTATCATTGATACAGGTTAACTTTAGCAGGCCTTGAGCCATCTTTCTATCCTTTACATTATAAAACTCTGGAATTTTAACCAAATTACTTTTATGCAGTAGTTAACATATGAAGCATTTTCCAAGCAGGGTTCATGAAAAGTCATTACAGCACAAATATGAATATGACTCATCAGTTTTTGTAACAGATTCTCTTTGTACATATAACTGCTACTCTGGCATTACAGAGATCAGTGGTGTGGCTACAGGGATATATAAAGTAAAAATGGAAGTGTCTTAATCTCTTTAACTGATAAGAAGGTAGGGTACCTATAATAACCCAGGGCTTCAGAAATCCTCTGTGAATGAGCAGTGAGTCCAGCAGGTGGGAAGATGAAAATGACAAAGAAGAGAAGACAGTATTGTCTGAGGGTATGGGCCTTAAATAAACCTGAATTATCCACATAAAGAGGGAGGAGTAATGTCTTAGAGGCAGCCATAGTGGGCAAGAAAGACTTTCATCCTAATCAACCTAATTCTGGTACGTAGGTCAGGAAAGAGTGGGCAGCAAGCATTTGAGAGGGTTGCAGGGAAAACAATATTTTCTGTGGAGGGCCAGGTTTTGAGACAAATTTAAAGCATGTATGGGACTGGATGAATTGTTCCAGCAACCTGAGGCCAGAAGGATTCTGCTTCTAAGTGAATCCTCATGAAGCACTTCTGGGATGGTGGAAGGACTATAAGCTTCTTCAGATGGGGTCAGTGAAGTCCAGGTTTGATTGAGCTCCAAGAGAATCCTATACATGGTGGGTAGACTAGGAAAAGATCAATTATTGTCCAGAGCCTTCACCATGTAATTACAAAAACAAACAAACAAAAAAAATCCCTCAAAAAAACCCCAACACCCAACAGTTAGATCTTGGCAGATTTAGGGGAAAGGATGCTGCCTTCTCTGAAGTCGGCCACAGCCTAACACTATCTTAAAAACTTACATTCACTGAGGCTATTATTAATCCTCAAGGCCATTTTAGATAAAGAGTTTAGCATACATTCGAGGCCAAAATTAAGAAGTTAAGCAGAATGGACTACAGATTTAATTCAGAGCTGATTATATACCCTTTTACAAGTTATTCTTAACTGTTCTGTACTACAGTTTCTTATTAAAAAAAAAGTGCTCATGATAATATCTGAGACCCTTCTGTTATCACAGGCAAATAAGACCATATTTGTAAGAGCTTTTCAGAAGAAAAGAGTAAAGAAATATGCTATTAAGTGTAACTGCCAAACTAGAAAATCTGCCTAAAAAATTATAATTGACAGTGTAATGCAGAGTACAGTACTATAAAACTAGGACAGTTTAGGATTTTTATTTTTAAGACATAGTAAATATTAAGAATAAGTTTAAGCTACTTAAAAAAAAGATTTTATTTATTTATTTGAGAGCTAGCGAGCAAGTTAGTGGGTGAGCGTGAGCAGGGGAAGGGGCAGAGGCAGAGAATCTCAAGCCCCATGTGGGGTTCAATCTCACAACCCAAAGATCATGACCTGTGCTGACACCAAGAGTTGGATGCTTAACCAACTGAGCCACCCAGGTGCCCCAATCTACTTTTTTTTTTCTTTAAAGATTTAATTATTTTACATAATCTCTACACCCAACATAGGGCTTGAACACACAACCCCAAGATCAAGAGTCATAAGCTCTATGGACTGAGCCAGTCAGGCACCCCAGTTTAAGCTACTTTGTAATGAAATAATAGCTTCTATCTCTTCATCTAATCTTGAGAGCCACATGTTAGCCAACATCACTAGTTGCCTAAGAAATACAATTAAAAACAGTAAGATATCATTTTCTCCTTACCTGATTGACCAAAATTTTAAAAGATCAATCATAGGGTTGAAAATCCTTTTTCTAAGATTTTTATTTATTTGAAAGAGAGCACACGCATAAGAGTATGCTTGAGCAGGAAGAGGGGCAGAGGAAGGGGGAGAAGAAGACTCCTTGCTGAGTAGGGAGACCAATGGGGCTAGCTAGATCCCAGGATCCTGAGACCATAACCTGAGCCAATGGTGGATGCTTAACTGAAGGCAGGTGCTTAATGGACTGAGCCACCCAGACATCCTTTTGAGAGCACTCTTAAAAACATGTGGCAGGTGGATATATTGGTACCACCATTTATTTAGTTATTTATTATTATTATTTTTTAAAGATTTTATTTTTAAGTAATCTCTACACTCAACATGGGGCTTGAACTTACAACTCCAAGATCAAGACTTACATACTCTACTGACTGAGCCAGTCAGGCATCCCCATTGCTTTTAAAAGAGCAATCTGACAATATTTATCCAGATATAAATGTACATATCCTTTAAAATTACACAATCCCACTTGGAATCCAATTTACTGAAATAATCTTGCACACATCCACACACTTATACAAATATATACTGTAGCACTGTTTGCTTAAAAAAATGGGTTTTAACTATAAATCTAGATATATTGGTAGAGAACTTGCTAGGTAAATTGGTATATCCATATGGTGGAATAAAAGTTAGCCATTGGACAGGTAGATCTTTATGAGTTAATGTAGAGATGCATTCATAAGGAATTAAAGCAGAAAAAAATCAGGTAGTAGGACAATGTACAGGATAGTGACCTTATTTTTATTGTTTAAAAAGATACTTTAGAAATTATAATCTAGAACTGATATATTTACATGAGAAACATATATACCAAACATTTATATTCTACTATGTTTTAATTTGAAATTCATCTCAATAGGAAGCTCTATCACTTTTTTAGACCAAAGGACATAGGTACACTCCAATATAAATAAAATTGAAAAATGTTTGTGTTTTGTATCATGCCTTTGGGAAGTATAAAGTAAAAGGAAAAGATTCTTACTTTAAAAAAAAAATACTAAAAAAAAAAAAATACTAACTTCTATAGCCCTTCTGGTCTTTGAGATCTTGACTAAACCCCATATGATACGGATGTCCAAAATAATGATGCACTAAAATTTAATGTGCTACACGTAACTGAATGTCTTCTAAATGACTTTTTTTTAAATCTAAAAAAAGAACTAAGATAAGCAGATCTAAAGTATTGGTGGTTTTGTCTTTCTTGTTTAAGACTATTATATCAGCAAGAACCATCAATAAGCAGCATGAAGCCAAGCTTCATATAGACCTTTGTATACAACTGCTAAGTGGGTACATATTTTCATCTAACTATACATGAATAGGTATAAATTTTACACATTATTTATTACATATCTCTTTTATTTCAACTTTACTTGGCAAGCACTTTAAGCAAAGGGGACAAGCATGAGTTTACAATATTTCTTGATGTTGCCTCCTGACGAACCATTTAGTAGGATCCCTATTAGAGTACTACTTTGGATGATCAGTAACCAAAGGGATATGGCTATTGCTACATATGGTAGAGAATAAACATTCCTTTAGGTAGGCTGCCCAATAGTTACAAATTGGCACATTGCCCCCAAAGCCCAACAAGTTAGTTATATGCAGGATACTCACATCAGCATAATGGCCTATCATATCACATCGGTCACATCGCTTTCTCCAGGATGATCTTTCAAGACATCTGTGAGTGGAAGACATAGGCAAAGAACAGCCTAAGCAAAAGCGGGCTGGGCAGGCATACTGGAGGTGTCCTCTCTCAGAGCAGAGACAGCAGGGGCGGACTTTCTAGGTTGCAAACAGAAAATCTCTTTAGCAAAATAGTTCGGTGTCAAATAGAAGATTAATTTTTTTCTGTAAAATTCCATAAAAAGTTATTTCTAATTGGAGACTCCAATGAAGGTCAAATCTTGAACATACCAAAAAGTCAAACAAAATGTCTGAAATCAGAGCTTTAACACAAGCTATCTGTATTCTGTGGTTGCCAAAAAGGCTTATTGTGCATGTACTATCAACTGGTGTCTATTTCTTATGCCTTGTCTTATAGGAAGATTAAAAAAGCAGATTGTGCCTGAGAGAGAAAGTGGGATGAGAAGGTTCTGGAAGCTAAGTCATAGGAGGAACAGACACTGAAAGAGGCTGCTTTGCTGGAGGACCAAAGATATGGAGGAACCCTAAGAGCTGTCTTAAACATCTGAAAGACATTCATTTGGAAGAAGCTGTAGGTAAATGGAAGGAATGTTTCTTGATAATTCGTTATGTCTCAGAGAACATCCAAAGATTGATGTATCTGTTTAACATAATTTACAGCAATAAACATAAATACTTAAAATGTTAACTTTCTAACATTTCTACAATGAAAGATTTCTAACAATGAAAATCATCCTGCAGTGAAACAAGCTGTCTTATAAAGTAGAAGGTTGGGAAGTGAGAGGGTCTCAGGAATTGTCTAATTTAATCTCATTTTATAGACAAGAAAACAGAGGCACACAGCGTAAAATGATTTGCCTAAGGTTGTGCACCTATCAATGGAAAAATCTAAAGTTGATTCCAGGTTTATTGGACTCTAACTTCACTGTTCCCTTTCTGCTACTATTTTAGGCTGTGACCTACCTGAAAATGTAAAGTGAAATTTACACATATATTATGCAAGATTTGAATTCTAAGGTTACATGGGTTCACCCCTAAGATTTTGATTTTTAACAATGTAGAAAGAAACATTATGTATTTCACATACTTGTGGAAGGGGGCAGTTTTTCGATAAATGGCCACATTTGTCACAATTTCTACAAGTAACATTTTTGTTGGCTGAATAGTATCGGTGGGTCCATCTTCCAGACGATCTATTATTAACTATCTGAGCCTAAGGGGAAAAAAATCAATAATTAAAAAGAATACTTCACTCTGTTCATAAGAATTAACAATAATAGTCTGTTCAATTTAGAACCTAGCAACAAGAAACTTTTGTGTTCTTCAGAGACTTCAAAAACTTAAAAGGGGTTGCCATGAAGACAACTCTACTTCTTGTCTGTCTCTCCCCTGCCATTCTCTTAAACTTTCTCCATATGGTTCCATTTCTTTTGTATCTTTTTCTACTTATAGTTCAGGTCCAGTAGGGGCACTGATATGCATAATTTAGACATTCTGGTGGCATTCAGAGCGAAAGATATTGCTGGTTTCTATATCTGAATGTATACCATATTTTTCTGAATGAGAAGCTTGCTTCAATTTTTACTTAGGGGATTTTAAAAATGACTTTTTACTTTTATAGAGTTATAAAACCACATAATGACCAAATCCATTCTTCTTTTGAACAACCCATGGTTACTACCTATAAATTGGCTTATAATTCCTGAGAGACATGAGATAATTTCCTTCCAATAGAGTACTTTTAAGATCTATTCTGCTTACAGTAACCCAATTCTAGCTCTCCCATATTCTAGGCAAAATCTAGTGTCTTGCAAAAGAATATTAGCAAAACATATCATATGGAATCCCTAAAGGAAAATATGTAAATGCCAACCATGCTTTTATTTTGTTTGGTAGAATTTCATCTTTGAAAAAGCTTTTCATCTTTTACTTGTTATTCAGCTAGATTGACAAGGTAAGCCCCAAGTAGACACAATCTAATTATCTTTTAAAACTTTTTTTTGAAAATGAAGTTGTAAAATTATTCTTTTCTTAACCATCTGTCACAATTAAGGCTAATAATTGACAAAGACAAACACCTGCCACATCCTAAATATAGACTAACCATTTCCTTAGACTGAAGAAGCAGTTATTTCCGGTGTTGATTTTTAGTGTACTAGGCAATATAAGCTCACCATGGCAGAGAAGAAATAGAAGGGAAAGGGGACTAAATCATTATAGCAATTAACACACTGACAAAAATCAAAGCTGAACCACACTTCTGAAAAATTCAATTACCACATAGTGAAATCAAACTTTTTCTTACAACATACTTGGACCACTGCTATCTCTAAAAAGTTTATTAAGTTATCATACTGAAGTGAAAGGAAACTTCAAATCAAAGGGAATTATTAATCTATTATTCATAACTTCAAAAAACAATTTTAATTTTACCTCTGCATCTTTGTCACTGATGAACCAACTTACACCATCTTCTCCTACAAAACAAATAAAATGTTACTCAAATCTTGACACCTTTAAAGTACTTATAGATTGATATTCAATTTGTCAGTACTAAAATTGGACCCCAAAGGTATAGTGAGATATGTGAATACCTCAACCTCTTATCACAAATATATAAAAAATCAGTTGAAGAAACCAAAAACCCAGTAACAGATGAAGAAATCTTATCTAAACTTATCTGACTAAAGCACAGCTTTATGAAAGTCAGCTGCACAGCACCTCCCCTACTGCAACCTAGTGTCTCTAGTCAGGGAAGTGACTGACTTTGGCTTCTAGGACATCCCCAAAACACCAAATTGTGTAAGCCCGCATCATCAAAATTTCCATCCTTTGAAGCTCTAAATATTTGTGTTTAAGTTGGTAAACAAACCTTTAATTCTGGCAACTGACTTGGGTTGCTCATTACTGAGCACTCCTGCGCCTTGTCTTTCCTCCTGTTAATCTCTCTATCACAGTTAGTTTGCTGGCCCTCACCGTTCAGACCCAAGAAGGCAGAGGAAAGGTTGTTCTTTCCAATATCAGTATTAACTGTGTCTACTAGCTTCCCATTGTTGTTGTTGTTGTTGTTTATTTGACAGAGAGAGAGAGAGCGCGAGCACAGTGCAGGCAGAGGGAGAGGGAGAAGCAGACTCCCCACTGAGCAGGAAGCAGGATGCAGGGCTTGATTCCAGGACCCTGAGATCATGACCTGAGCTGAAGGCAGACGCTTAACCAACTGAGCCACCCGGGTGCCCTGACTAGCTTTCCATTGTAATTGACTTTCACTGTAACATTTTAAAAAACTACACTTTGAATACAATCTCATAATTGGGGCTAGACATTTAGAACTATATTTTATAACATCAAACACAGTGAAATAAAACACCAAATATCCAGAAACCATTGATTGATCTAAAAACACAACTGTAAAAACCTAAGGGGCTTGGGAGCCCTACATTCCTCTTTATCAGCTGTTTTCTTCTCTTTGCCCTGTCCCTTTACAAACCTGCAAATGGCTGCTATTTCTCTGGTCCACTCATGACCAGGGAGGAAGGGACATATGACTAATGCAGAAGCTATGGTATCAACAAAGGACTGAAAGATTTTTTTCTCTCCTTGAAGCAAAGTTAAGATTTCTTCCTTCCTCCTATCTATTCCTCTTCTCTATCTCAAAAACACAAATCGAGCTTGACTCTTGTCTTTGAAAGGAATTTCGAGGAGATATGAAATAATCTACATTCCCCCAGGCATACCAGGAGTAAGTGTCTAGAGACAGATTTTAAAATAAAATAGTTTTACTAAGAAAACCAAAAGGCTGCTTTATAAAAAGACCAATTCATAGGAGAGCAGAGATGCTATGTTGATGATTATGTCCTTTGTAAAATTTGGAGGCTGCATCCATATAGGGAGAGTGGAGAATACATTAAATAGCTGCGCATCATCACCATCCACAACGGCATTCTTTCATTAAAAAGATCCAAGGAGCATGTTCTGCTGTAAGTTTCAAAGCTGCCTTTTGTACCTCAATGTCTCCATCTTTAAAATTCAAAATGACCACTAAAAATCACTGAAATTAAAAAACTGCCTAGTTGTCCTTAAAAATAATAAAACTTACAACCAGTGAAACGCAAAATAGCAACTGTTACCATCCCAATTCCAAATAAATTTACATTTGAAGAACTAAACAGTGAGAAAAGGAAAGGTCCAAAATAGGAAGATCCGACTCCATTTAGATTGTTTAAACATTCCTGTGGAATTCCAGGTCATGTACATCAAGCTATAGTATATTCTTACTGTAGAAAATTTATCAACAGGTATACAAGACAAGTTTTAATTATAGATGAAATCAGACTTCTCAGTGGTAAACAGAACAAAGACGTGGAACACATCAGCCAACTCCTGGTGCTATCCATGGTTCCAGTTTTGGTTTGATCCTGGTAATAACAGCTGACTCATGCCGTTTTCTCTTTTATCTATCCTGTTTTCTTCTTACCTCGGAATCCCAAACTAATGGAGGCTTTGTCTAAGGGCAACTCATTAGAACCTCTATGGGTAGCCAAGTCTCCACTTTGTTAAATTCCTGGTACAGGGCTTGGTTTCAGTCTTTATCTCTTATTTGCTGTGTGGCACTGGGCACGTTACTGACCTTCACTTGGCCTGCATAATAATGGGTTGGATTAAATGGCATCCATGGTACTGTTTAGTTTCTAAGATTCTTCCAATTTTTCATTCATTATTAAAATAAAAAACATTGTCCTCCAGGCCTCTGGAACTGGTACAGGATGTCTTTCCTTAAAGACAACTTCCCACAGGGCCCAGAAGCACTCATCTTCCATGTGTTCACCACCCATTGCCATAGAATAAAAAATGCAATTGCCCTAAAGTATAAAATTAGGACTGCCCTAAAGATGCCTAATATTAACTCTTAGCTGCCTTATAGCCCTGTCTTGCTAATATCTGTGATTCTTTTCAGTTCAGAATTGTAATCAAAGCAATAGTTGGCGACTCTTTCTTTGCATCAAATCAACTCAGTGCAACAAACACATACTGACAGGTTATATAATGAGCGAGGTGCTATAGCGTAAACAAAGAGGAATAAGAGCTTATAACTTAGTAAAGGAGACAACAGAAAAAAGAAAGGAGTAAGAGAAGACAAACAAAATTCTACAGTAAATTCAGAAGAAGAATAGACAATGTCTGAATTTAGGGGAAAAGAGGAAAAAAGTCACAGAAGATTGTGCTATACAGCAAACTTTACTGAAATATAATTTACATATTATAAAATATACCCCTGTAAAAAATACAGGATGTATTTTGACAAATGCACACACCTGTGCAACCACCACAACCATCAAATATAGCACATTTCCACCATCCCAAAATGTTACCTTGTGCATATGTACAGCACAACCAGGCAACCACTGATTTGCTTTGCCTGTTCTAGGACTGCATATAAATAGAATCCTAAACTGTGTACTATTTTATGTTTGGCTTCTTTCATTCTCAATATTTGTGAGATTCATCTATGTCATTGGATAGTAGTAGCACTTTGTTTCCTTCTTATTGCTGAGTACTATTGCAGTGTGTGGATTTAACAATTTGTTTAGCTGTTTATCTCCTGATAATACTTAGGTTGTTTCCAGTTTTGAGGAATTATAAATAAAGCAGGAATAAATATTCTGGTGAAAATCTTTCTTTTTAACTGACAGAAGTTTTCACTTGCCTTGGAAAAATACCTAGGAGTTGAATTATTGGATGTGGTTTAGTATATCTTTACCTTTATATGAAACTGCCTCAAAGTGGCTGTGTCATTTCATATTCCCATCAGCAACGTATGAGAATTCTCGTTTCAAAAATCTCACCAGTACTTGAAACTCTTTTTTAGTCTTCAAATGTGTATATAGTAATGCATTAGGATTTTAATGGGCATTACTCTGATAACTAATGATGCTAAGCATCTTTTCATGTATTTGCCATTCATATGTCTTTAAAAAACTATTTGAATTTTTAGCTTGAATGGATGAATGATTGAATGAATGAATGTAGGCCCAGCGTGGAGCCCATGTGGGGCCTGAACTCACAGCCCTGAGATCAAGACCTGAGCTGAGATCAAGACTCAGATGCTTAACTGACTAAGCCACCCAGGCATCCCTTAGCTTGTTTTTAAATTGAGTTGTTTTTTATTTGAAGAGAGTGAAGGAGACTGTTTTCCTTTGATTAAATTACAGGAGTCCTTTATACATTCTAGATATAAGTCTTTTATCAGACATATGTTTGCAAATATTTTTCCCAGTGTGGCTTGCTTTTTTCAATTATTTTTTAACAGAGTTCTCAGGGATGCTGGGGTGGCTCAGCAGCCGAGCATCTGCCTTTGGCTCAGGGCATGATCCTGGGGTCTTGAGATGAATCCCACATAGGGCTCCCCGCAAGGAGCATCTTCTCTCTCTGCCTATGTCTCTGCCTCTCTCTGTCTATCATGATTTTAAATAAAATCTTAACAAAACAAAACAAAACAAAACCAGAGTTCTCAGAAAAGCAAAAGTTCTCATAAATTTGGCAATTTTTCCCTTTATGGTTTTCTATGCCCAAAGAAATCTCCCTATGCAATGTTACAAAAGCAAGCACTTTTTATGTTTTCTTCTAAAATTCTATAGTTTTAGCTTTTGATGTTTAGTTATTAACCATTTTTCCTCATATGAATATCCTATCCAGTTGTTCCAACATCATTTGTTGAAAAAATACCCTTTCTTCATTAGATTGCCTTACGAACTTTGTTGAAAACCAATTGACCATATACATGTGGGTCAACTTCTAGAAGTTCTAGTATGTTACATTGAGTTATAGGTCTATACATTATACCATATTACAACTTTACTTTAAAAACTTAAAATCATGTAGAGTAAGCTTTCCAACTTTTTTGTTGTTTTTTTGAAGATTGCTTTGGCTATTTTTTGATTTCTATATAAATTTTAACTTGCATTTTGATTTTTTCTCTTTAAAGCAAGCTCTGATATGAGGCCTGAACTCATGCCTGATCGTGAGGTCAAGAGTCACAGGTATACTGACTGAGCCACCCAGGGGCCCTTGATTTCTGTATAAATTATAGAATATAAGTTCCTACCCAAAAAATCTGATGGGATTTTGATTGGTATTGTGCTACAACTACAGATCAGCTTGGAAAGATACTTTAACAATATCAAGTCTTCTAAAACATGAATATGATGTATGTCTTCATTTACTTTGGTCTTCTTTTTTTCAGCAATGTGTTACGGGTTTCTGTGAACAGGTCTTGCATATATTGTACTAGTTATCCCTGAGTAGTTCATGTTTCTGTTACCAAAAACTTTTTAAAAATAACATTTAAATTAATTTTAAATTATTTGTAAAAACTTCATTGTTCAAGGTCTGATTACAAGTTTATAGAAATACAGTTGACTTTTGTTTATTCCCCTTCATCCTGCAAATTTGCTAAATTCACTTAGTGCTAGAAGCTTTT